AAACATTGTGAGAGATCAACCTATAGCAATGTGCGTCAAATACGCATCGCCAAAAGACGCAACACAGACTGCGTGCACAGCAAATCCAATCACATCATCGGCAAATTGATAATGAAAAGAAAGATAAGTAATGCATGCGAGCAGCATTGTGCTTTACATTTGTATTTTGAAGGCAGCTTAAGTTTACAGAGTAAGAAACATCAAGCGCATGACTGCGCCGTCGGGGAATCGAACCCCGACCTCATCGTTGGAAGGAATGAATCCTAACCATTAGACCAACGGTGCATAAGATCACTAACATATTTAATACATTCAAACAACAACAACAGTAACGATACTGCTATAAAACCAATTTGATGAGCACCACTGAAGTTTAGGTATCAAACTCTCTATCAAATAAAATCTAGCATACCTGCACCAAATGCGCTTTAGTTTCCCGACAGAGATGAATTGATGACTCGTAGTTTGTGGTAATATATTGCGAAAGCGTAGTGGGTTGGAAATACCAATCCACTGTCATCATTGATTATGCTTTGAAACGCCTTTTGCAAGGTTTTATGGGCGAGTATTGCTCCGCCGAGGAATTGATCATCGACCTTGTCCTTGAGACGGATGAATATTTATCAATAGACAAAACGGCGCAAGGTTTATAACAATGAACAGCAATTACCCCTGGGATAAAAGTGCTACAGACAATCAAAAATGCTGAGAGATCAGCAGCTTTGGCAGAGACAAAAAAGTAAACCAGTCAGCAAGAAAAGTGTCGTTCCATGTAGGTACCGTGTGATACCTTCAATAAACAACACTTCACATGAGATTCATAAGGTTAGTCTCCCAAGTACTTAAATCAAAATTGGAACGATCATCCGGACAGCAAATTCAAAAATGAAAGTTACAATTGTATCGCCTATCATCAAAGCCGCGATCGCAATCCGAGTCTGCAAAAACATGATTTCAGCACTCATGTGTAGCTCGACAGCAGCAACACTTACCTCCTGATTTGGCATTGTTACCAACTCCAAGATTGCGTGAAGAGGGGTGAAGACCTCTGCAATTACAATCATCAACATGGCGTAGTTGAAAAGTGAACAGCGACTAAATAGTTTATTTTTCCAGAATCCTTCCATAAATGGTTGTCCCCGATAGTTGGCCACGAAGGTGTTCACTTGCATGGTCGACGACATTAGAAACATGATACTGTTGACAACATTGGGAGTAAACTTTCCATCTGGATGCATCGACGGATCTCCCAACTCGATGAACGGCTCAGCTACGTGAAGAGCAGCCACCAAAAATGCTAAATGGATAATAAATTGTCCAAAGATCGATACCATCACGGGAATGCAAAAGACTCCAGATGGAGGACGCTCGTGTGAGAGCTTTGGCGCAGGTTTTGTGCGCGACAGAAACAAAAAGAGCATGGCGATCGACAGCTGTATGCAAAAGAAGATACGTGAGTGTTTAAGGTAAAGCACGATAAAATTTGTACATACCCCTGATATAGTGAGTTGTTGATCACCATTCTTCACTCCGTATATATAAAGCGAGCTCAAATAGTATGCCGTGATAAGACAATTGATCCCAAGTATTTTGTACATTTGGATTGTTGTCACCAATGTACATCGCCCCTGACAGATCAACTGTTTGATCGCACTAATACTTGGGCTCTTTGATGTAAAAGGAGACGCGATAGAGGCATCGCCCAATCGCACGATTTGATCCTCGTCATCACCTGAAATGCATCGTTGTTGCACTCCTCTCATCGAGCGTTCCTTATGTCCAACTTGTCGACGAAAACGAAGACCGTCTTGACCTGCAGCAGCTCCAATGCTTTTTGCCACATGAGATGCAGTATCAGAACTGGCTAAGTTCACGATTGAGATACCTATGTGAGCTTGTTTCAAGGCACCGACATCGTTCGTGCCATCACCACACATGGCTGTTGTTTTACCACATCGATTCATCGCCATAATAAGGTGTTCCTTCTGCTGGGGTGTCATCCGAGCAAAAACAGTTGCGCACAAGCATATTTTCTCAAGAAGGCAAAGAAAGCCTTCAAGCGCGGCGGCATTGTCGTTTTGCTCATTCTCTTGCTGCTTGTGCAGCGTTGTAAGGGCTTCCCCCGTCACACACAGGTCAAATTGAGCTTGCATTCTTTCGACTTCGTCGACGTTAAAACGAATAGTCTCCTCTGTAATGTTAGGCGATCCATCATCGACAGACTTCCACTCCACAACCCCAGACTTCGCGTTGTTAAGCAAAATTAATGGCTGCTTTGTAGATTCTGCATTGATTCCCACCTGCCTGGCTACATCACATGCTGTGAGAGGATTATCCCCAGTGATCATAGTCACTTTATGCTTTGAATTCAATAGCTCCTGAATCGTTTGTCTCGAATCTTTCTTGAGTGGACAGTCAAGAACCAGAAATCCCGCAAATATTAAGTCACTTTCCAATTCATCCCGTCGTTTGAGACGCAGCTGATTTATCGAGCTCTTTCCCGGTAAAATCCGAAAACCTAAAGCTAAGACGCGGCAACCTTTTGCTGCATAATAGCGATGTACGCTGCGGTAATAAGAAGGCTTATTTGTGAAAATAGATTCGAGAACCTCAGGTGCGCCTTTTGTTAACACTCGCTGCTCGTCTTGCTCATCGTTGTCACTTTTTCGCACACATACAACAGTGCTCATACGTTTAAGCTCGGAGGAAAAACTCAAGCTGTGCAAAATCTCTACCGCCTCAATTTCATCTCGACGATCCGAAAAATATGAAGGTCGAACATTCAAAACACGGTCGCCCCCCACTTGATTTGAAGTCAATGTCCATTTGATGGTACGAATGGCAGTCATTTCAAGCGGATCACCCGCTTCCTGGCCATTAAGCAACACTAATGATTGACACCCTGCGAGAACGAGCTCAGTGTCCAAGGGTAAATGCTCCGGAGCGATCACATCAAATCTACCGCGATTATTTTCCTTATTTTCAGTCCCAACAATAGCTTCTAGTCCTACTACGCCATGTAGCTTGAGCTCATCGCTTGTCAATGTCCCCGTTTTGTCAAAGCAGCAGACATCGATGCGGCCGGCAAAAGGAATGCGAAACGGCTCTGTGCAGAAAATATTACTTTTCGTCAGTGCAATTAGCGAGTTTGTCACTGCTAGTGACAGCTCCATAGGGAGCTCCGGCGGCACGACTGACGTAATAATCATTATACAATGCAAAAATAGCTTGAATTGGTTGCGGGTTGGATCACTTAATCCTTGCGAAAGCACAAAGGCGGCGGCAGCAAAAGCAAAATTTAGCATCAAGATAATAAAATACATCGCCTCAAAGTTATTTGCCGTGACGCGTTGTGAAGAGTGAATAATAGTGCGCATCAGACTTCCCTGGGTTGTGCCAAAGCCCGTTTTAAGTACAAATCCAACACAACCTCCACCACGAGGTGCAGGTATGTGAAGCAATTCCTTAGATGCTGCCGCTGAATGTTGTAAAATTTTAGTACCTCCATACAATACGTGTCGTTTGTGTTCCATAGTCGTACCAGCGTCGATCTTAAGAGTCTGCAGCTTCTCGACATCATTACCAGCCGATGCCCCAACACTCTCCTTACGCAATGGCACTGACTCACCCGAAAGCATTGATTCGTTAACAACGCAGTTTCCACGGAGCAGCAGCAAGTCGCACGGAACAAGAGTAGCATGTTCATTGGGATGTATTAAACAAATATCACCAGGAACAAGATCATCGCTTAGGACCTCAAGCCATCTTCCAAATCGATACACCAGACACTGCTGAGGAGCGCTGCGCATTTGTAAAAGTGTGTCCATATTGTACTGACGTTGTTTAACGACCGTGCACTCAAAGACAATCAACATCAGCAGTGTCATTAATGAGTAATACATGTAATCATCGAGACACCAGAGCAGCATACAGAAGAACTGGAAAACGAAAAATGGAGCCACAAGTTGCTCTTTAAGAAGCTGAGTAAACTGTGGCACCGACAAGTCAAAGTCATTTCTACCCCATTTGTCTTGTGCCTGTTGCAGCTCTTTGTCGGACCTAATACCTTTACTTTGGAGATAATACTCAAGTGAGTCAGAAGATGGAAAGTCCAGTCGACGAAACTGAATTTCACCGCCGCCATTGATGGTCTTCAAGTCATCGTAGAGACAAAATTTAAGATTTTGAAACGAGAACCAAAGTGTCGGTTCTGTGGAGCTTTTGAGATGGCCCTTAGACACCACGTGGCATTCACATAATTGCTTTGGAAGCATTGCAAGCGACGGCTTCACTTTAATCAATACTTTCGATTGATCATCTGATAATATAGTCGTCAGTTTCTTACATGTCATCCAACAGCGCACATCAACACTCCACTCGGCGCCAAGCACCGCCAACATGTGCCAAAAGATGCTGGCAGCACCAAAGATCCATGGGACCACATCATCCTCAGGACGCAAAAAGTAGAGATACACGGCTGTGACATAGAGAAGCAGGAATGGTAGAACATCTAGTCGCATTAATAACGGCAATGGCGAGTACAATGCCACGGACATGAGCTCTTGATCGGCCACGCCCACATTAAGAACCATTTTATGATTCGATAGACTAAAACTCTGTAGTACTACTTTTACGCCAAAACTTTCGGTGTATTTTTAATGTCAAAATTCGAAACGAAATTTTACTGAAAGTGGTGACGACATTATTGAGACTGTGATATATTGTTTTGTTTTGTTTATGGATCTTATGAGTACTCGATACAGGACGGCTAATTATCGCGACTGCTGTTTGTAGATAAGATTTGTCAGATCATCGTAGTCTTATTGTTTCGTTTCGTCACGTCGCACAAGTGCAATAACGGTTACTAAATCAACGATCATCATCCGTGTCCAGCAATACAAGCAAAATATATAAATGTACTCGACTACATATACGTAAACCAAAAAGATGAGAGATGCTTCTTCAGTAAGAGTTGCTGTCCTCACTCATGTCAGACATACGCTTGTTGTAATAGCATCAGCAGAAAACACCTCATCCCGAAACTTCTAATTACACAGCCCACTCCTAGTACAAGAAACAAAATTAATCGGCCAACAAAGCCTCAGCTGGTACCCGAAAAAGTTGCAATCGACATGAATTGGTCCGTTTGGGCAATGTCGTCATTGGCTTAGCGATGAACATAAAGACATCATGTGCGTCAGCACGCTAAAAGAAGAATGAACAACTAAGGTAGTTTAATGTTGAACGGATGGCTGGAACATTTCGAGAGAAGATTGGTAGTTAATCAGTACTACTTTTATTTTGACGAATCTGGTACCGGAATAGCTTAAACTCTGAATAGCTTGTTGAAATAGATCGCTGATTTGGATTACCGACTAGAAGAATATTAGATAACCTTCAAGTCGGCATCTATGGCTCAGCCTGGTAACACCGAATTGGAGCTACAACAACTCAAGCAGAAATTGGATTCAGTAGTATTTGGTCCCGAATTCGTGGCTTTAGATGAGCGCTTTGTGCCGCATGGACCAGAAACCACAGGCTTTGAAATAGAGCCGCGCGTTAGCTCCTTTTATAGTGCACTGGGACCTGATGATGACGACGAAGAAGACGACGACATTGAAAGTTGTGAATTGCCTATCAATCGCTACGCTGGTGTCATTTATGCTGCGCGTTATTTTGTGACCCGTGTGGGGTTTCTACGCTCGGCCAAGCGGCTCTTGGTGCTCAGTAGCAATCACTTGACTATAGTAGATCCATATTCAGATGAAGTAAAGGAGCGTTACGCTTTCGACAATATCAAGGAAATTACGATTGCCTCGGACAGTGGTAACCACAATGCCGACCGCGCCTTTACTATTTATATTGGAAAAAGTCTCAAGGAAACGTACACATGCAGATGCAGACAACAGCTTCTGTCAGCTTACTATCAGCTTAGAGAGCGGGCATCATCTATCCGAAAGGACGAAATTGATGCTGCTACCGCAGATGCCTTGAGCGCTGTTGGAGCGAGTGTGAGTGACAATAGCTGGGCTACGAGTTCGGGAGGACCAGGCGGTACCCACAAGCTTGGTAGTGGTATGTATTTTGACAGTTTGTTTCAACTCTGTGGAAAGACATTTACGATGTCAAAGCTCAGTACGACACGTAGTATTGCCATTCAGCCTGTTAAAGTAGGCGTGTTACTGGCTGTACGTGCTGCTAGTTTGGACAGACTTGATCCGGAAACACACACGACACTGTCTTCAATTTTATTGATTGATATTGTAAAGATCCAACGGGTGAATACAAATTCAAATGAGCTAGTACTGTATTTTGAAAATAATCGAATCCATCGATATTGGTGCGATAGTCGGGAGCCATTTATCCAAGCAATTGCGAACAATTTACGCTCGTGGCTTAGTGTGTCGTTGTTTGTAGAGGAAGTTTCGGATTCTTGTGAATTTGATGCCCTGACGTCGACAAGAGACATTCCACAACCGGTTACGTTTGAGATGCCAGTGCTAAAGATAAGTAAAAACAAGAACGACAAACTGCAGTTTCGCTTGCTGGGTTTGACAGCATTAGCAATCATTGAAAGAGATCCTGTGACGCGGAAGACTTTGGCAAGTCACTCGCTTAATGATATTTTCAATGTGGTCGTATACCCATCAGTGTCGTCATCACGAGATGACCTAAACAGCGAATCCTCAGAAGGACTGAGTGGAAAATTTGCTCTTGAATTGAAGCACGGATTGACACGTCGGTACATTTGCCTTGGCTCAAGAGTGAGTAGACGCGATAAAGAAGTCGGTCTTGGACTAAGCCATGTAATGTCACAGCATGAGCATGAGCTTCGCCAGCTTATCGGTGACATCGCCGGTCATGGTGAAATTCCTGAGTGGCTTAAAGTAGCTGGAGCCACGACGCTACTGAGTCAAAAGGAAGCGCGGAGTCTATTTTTGAGTAACATGATAGAAATGTGTCGTATGAACAAATTGCACGTACCATGGTCAACGGAGGAGACGAAAATTGCATGCAAAGAAGGAAGTTGGGGCACAGAAGTTCACCCGGAGTGGGAGGATATACTGTTGCGCAAACTGGTTAATCTGAATTTTATCCCAAATCTTGTCACGAACGATAGCATGTCACTCGTCTATCACCATTTAGTTCAATTTAATCGCAATATTCCGTTGGGAGGTTTACGTCAGCGCGACCGACGCGCATTCGCGAGTTTAATGAAAATTCTTGAAAATGTTAAAGAATATTCAGTGGCTCAGCTAAACAGTCCGTCGAACACGGATGCACCTATCCCAACAACGGAGTTTCAGGTAGAACTATTGCTGGCTATTCAGCGACTACTATGTACTCGTGGAGTCTTCGAAGAAATTCCTAGCTCACAGTATAAGAATAGCATCGAAGTGATCATGGAATTGCTTCACTCCCCAATGGAGGAAGTAAGCTTTGCTGCAGCATGTGTAATAAAATACATGGTGGTCAACTTCTCAGATACGCGCAGTCTTAAATCCGAATTGGCCAATCGTCGAGCAATATTTACAAAATACCATTGCAAAATGTACGTGGCTCGCGCATTTGATTTGTCCAAGACCAATCGAGTGGGTCGCGTACCTTTTCATTCATCAAAGTTTGGATCAATTTATGGGTCAGTGGCGGCAATGTCTAATACTGAACGCAGCATCGCAAATGCGTTGGCATGCTCACAATTAGGATTGGATTATCTCGTCCTCGTTATGGTCTTGCAAACTCTCGAAGTTTGTTTGTCTAGTGGAAAGAAAGCAACTCCCGAAAGAGTTGCAAGGGATTTACTGCGAGCTATGAAAGTCGACGATTTTTCCCGTCATCATGCTTTGTTTTTATTTAACCGATCGTTGAGTTTTTCTATAACAAAATGTTCATCAATCCTGGTAAAAGTGCACATTTTAGAGCAGCCAACCGAACTTGTTGAGCTGATTCAAGACTTTGCACGAAAGCATGGAGCACTGGTTTGGCAGCTTTACTTGGCACTGTATACCCAAGACAAGGCTCAACGCCGGATATCGTCTCAGTTGGTAGCGCTTCTTACTCATGAAAATCCTCGCTCTTCTTTCGTGATCCGAAATATATTTCCGCACTCGTTGCTAGACGACCAGAAAGTAAGCCAAGTGGAATATGACGAGTTTGGTAGGCATCTACCGACTGCAAACTCCGAGCTTCACGGTAAACATCATGCCAATTTACATAAGTCTGGAGGTCGACGTGACATGACTAATTTAATGGAAAGTGGACGATCTAATTTAAGCTACGGGATCAATACGCGCTCTCGCTTAGCGCGAAATGCGAAACACGCGGTGTTGTTACCCGAATTTTTTGATAGAGTAGGTAAATCTTACGCGACTAAAGATCTTGTATGGGGCCCGTATGCTGTTGAAGAGTTGATAACTAAGCTTCAATTAGAGATGAGTGAGCTCGACCTGTACCGACTGAAGTTTCTTGGATATCTTTACACAGACCCACTCGCAACGGACTATACTGAAAGCGAATGGGATTCTTGTCAGGCAAACCGGCTTCGCCACGACCCACAGCATGCGAATTGTGCCCCATTTCTCTTTGAGCTTCATCAACATGGTACAGAAAGTCGTCTTGCTATTGAAGTAATGAAAGGTGCCATTTCTTCTTCGAACCGTTTTGTCAGATACTTGCCTCTGTCATTTATCTTTAAATCCGACACGTCAGCTGAAATCGACAGTGATGGTGGATTAGAGGATGACAGTTATGACAGCGATGAAAATTGCACCGATGATAACAGGTCTGGTTCCCGATCGAATAGTACCATACGCCCGGGTGAAGGTGATAATCTAGAATCCAAACAGCAAGACCTTAATAGTTCACATGAAGACGTTTGTCATGTTGCATTCACCAAAAAGGAAAAGAATAGTGCTAAGAATATGCCTCGATGGTTCGTAGCATGGAATTCTAATGATTTTCGAATCGACTATGAGTGTCTGAAGAACGAGGTAAAAGTGGGCCCATATTACCTCGCCAATATATTAGACGACCGTGGTGTGCTAGTGGAAGACATTGAGTGTGTTGAAAAGTTCATGACGCTGTTGTACTACCGCCTTCTTGCTGAAGATCAACTTACCTCATCAAAGAAATTCCGAAATAGCGAGCCAACGTCATTTGCAGAACCCCTTGGTGATGTTGACGTATCGGACATTCGCTTGCTGGTATTAAAGGTGATGATTCAGCTGTATGAGCGTCATTTTGCTGAATTAGGATCACTGATTTTTCTGAACCACTTTTTGCGCGTAAGCATGATGGTGAGTAAGGACGGCGAGGATCGCCGCTGGCCGCTGGTTGTGCGTGGCCACATTATGCTGTTCCTCGACCGCGTCCTCTCAAGTGCTTTAAATGTCTCGCGTTTTTTACGTGAAGAAGATAATGTGAGGATCGTGCTAGATTTGCTGTATGAAGTGAAACCACTTGTCATTTTACAAGGACCAAATGATATCGAGAAAGAGTACAGTGTAGAGCCCGCAGCTGACGTTCAAGCAGAGCTACATCCATCGGAAGAAGAAAATGATCATGTTCTTGTTGGGGACGAGGAAGACGACGCTGATGATAGCGGTGACTACGACGAGGACGACGAAGACTTCGAAGAGGAAAAGGATATAGCAAGTAGAATGATAGATGCTTTGGAAGATTCGGGAGCAGAGAGTTCGATCATATCAAGTCATTCTATCTCACCAACATTCGCACATCGCGATGATGAAAGCATGGCTGAGGAGGAGCCTAGTCGTGTAACCGTCGTAGCAGAACACTGTGGAGCAATGAGTGTCTCTATGATAATGCAAACATGTCTAAGTGTGCTTAGTCGTCTTGTCGACTGTCACACTGCGGAAGAAGAGGGATTCATCCACCAGGATACTCGTTATCCGAAGTATGGACGCCTTACGCACTTTGAAGGCTCAAGCGTCAGTCCGATTAGTTCCATCAAACGGCGGCTATGTGAAGACCAAAACTTGCGGCTTTTAGTTGGACTTTTGGACTGCCCGAATCGTATTGTCTTCAAAAAGTGCCTTGGCTTGATCCGACTTCTCGTTCGGCACAATGAGGCAATCATTCCAAACCTTCACGCCTCTGGTATCTTTTACTACTTACTCCGGTTTTCGAAGGACGTGGAGGAAATGTCAGTCGCTGCGCGTCTAATCTCTCACATTCATCTGAGGCAAGCTGATCTCGACCTTGCGCATGTCGCTGATGACAAACAAGAGGGAGCAAATAAAAAAGGCGTGTTCTCTCCAGACCCATTGACTCGTATATGCCTAAGGAGTTGGTTGGTGCGAGTTTTACCTGTTTCGATGGTTGCTCAGCTGTTGCGCCATGGACCCAAACAATTTGCTACAGCACTATTCTCGGATGCAAACAGTCCTGAAGTGGTCTGGAATGCAAAGATGCGTGATCAAATGGTGTCATACATTGAAAAATTTATGGAAGTTCATACAGATGACAACGGCGTATTTTATATTTCAGAGACCGAAGGTTCAGAACACAAGTCTTGCACTGCGCTAATTCAGTATCCGAAAGAAGTTCATGCACTACAGTGCTATCAATACTACCTGCACAACCTTCTTGATGAAGAAAATTTTCCCGGCTGGCGGATAAATAATGAATCTGCTTTTTTGCGCTCGTTGCTGGATTCAATTCACCGTTGGATGCACCCAGAACTGTTGCTGACATTTCGCGGAGCATTAGCAAGTGAGGGTCAATCTGCTAAAGTTCTATCTGTTTCTGACGCAGTGGAGTTGTTCGATGCCACAGCGCTACTCTTACGTCGTTTTCCCGACTCTCCGAACATCACAAAACTGCCAGACTTTTCATACCTTTTGGAAGCACTGGAAAGATGTATATCAGAGCTGAAAGAGAACCGCAGTGGTTCTACTAAGACGCTTTCTAATATTTCGAACGCTATCACAACAAAACCCACATATGTTAAGGCTTTTGCGAGCGCCATTCGTGTAATCAATCTGGCTGTTGGATTATCGGACGACAATGCTCATAGTTGTAGCTCTGGTTTGGGACTTCGCGTATTGTGCAGCTCACTACAATTCCTTTTTCATAACCATGAGAATTTGGTTCGAATCGACGGGTGTTCGCCGACTTTGATGACACATTGGGTGCTTGAAGCTTTGGCAAACGTCCTGAATCAGCCAAATGGACGGGTATCAGCAGCGGCGCAATCTATCGACTTGTTGCCTTGCTTAACTCGCTACCTCTTGCAAGAAGGTGATGTGTTGGCTACAGATTTTTCACTACAAATTGTGAGCGATATGGCTAGAAGTTCAGGGGAAATCGCTGAGATGTTGTTGCTACAGTTAGCAGATCACGGAATCCTATGGTACTTGACGCTATTATTGTTCCATTACAAGCCAAACGGTGAAGGTAGTGATAACGAAACGCAGCGCATAAGTATTGGCGCAGCAAAAGCACTCTGTCGAATATTAGAAGCCAACGCGAGAGAGGAGACTATTGCTGTGTTTGTTCGAAACATGCAAGCCACAATCGAACAGATATTTACTCGTCCCTTAGTCGAAATTTTGCGACGAGCAGGACCGATCAAGATGTTAGATGTGTTGGTGTCTGAAGTTCGCGAGCCGCACGTGATGTGGACTGAGCGTATGCGGAGGGAATTGGCAAGCCTTGCTCGTTGTGCAATCCAATTCCATACAGATATGAAACAGAGTGATAAGGAGGAGCACCATTTGTTCGAATTGCCGCACTATTTCATGTACACGGCACAAAAGGAAGAATTGTGCGTAGCGGGCATTTACGTCAATTTCTTTAATGATAATCCAAAGAACGGCATCCTTTCACAGATTGCCGGACCAATAAATGGCAATGAGTCTCGTGCAGACATGTACAAATCTAAGCCAACAAACAAGAAAGACATTCAAGCTACAGCAACAGCCGCAGTGGGGCTAGAAAATCGCTCCGTTAGCGGACTTGTCATGCATGGTCTACTAGCAGCGCTGTCTTACGACATATCATGCGCTCGCGCACAGCCTAAGACACTAGAGAGCTTGTTGCTTCAACGATTGCTGCCTATAGCTACGGCGATTCGAAATTTATTGCAGTATACACCTGATATGGATGTCCAGATCGTACAAGCAGATGGGTTACTTACTCTTTTGTTTGTACTGGACCACGAGACACAACCTCAAGGATTTTCCTTTGCAAGCGCACCACTTTTGTTGCTTCGTTGCATGGAATGCTTACACATGCTGTCATTCAGTGGCAAGGTTGTCGATTCTTTAGCGACGGTTGTACCTCCATTTATCAAGAGCTTGTTTCAGGTTGTGTATAAAAACTTGGCACGAACAGAAGCTTCGACTGAAGGTCAATTGGCTCGCGTGACATTACAACTGCTAGGAAATCTGTGTTTAATTCCTGCTTGCATCGACAATCTTGTGAAAGGAATGGATCCAGCAAGTCTATCCAATCTACTTCCGCACGTTTGGCTCGGCGACTCGACAGAGATGCAGCTGCTGCTGTGCTTACATATGATTCCTCTTAAGCGGCATACACAAGCTGCCACAGAATTTGCCAAGGCTGCTGTAAGCTCGCAACTCGCTGCAGCATTACTAAACTTGCTCTCTACACTTGTGCCAAAGTCTAAGGTTGGTGAGAGCACTACAACTAAGCAGTATGCGGCACGATTTCTGTCGGTTTTGTCATCAAATCCTGGCAGTGGTGGCGCCATTTCTAGTTTGCTTATTGCTTCTAGAGTTTGGGAAACCCACGGCGATACAACTCAAGCGACATCCGAAGACCTTCGCCGATTACTAATACCTCCCCACGCGCCCGCACTGCTAAAGGCGTCTCATGCGAACCCGTATAAGGTAGGCTAAGGTTGCAATTGAAGAAGGCAATGTTAATGTAATAATGAGTACTGAGCGTCAAGAGACTCTTTTGGTCTCTTCTCATCGTTATTATGTCCTATTCGACCCAACCTCACCGTCGAATAGGTCCAGAATCTCATTCTGTAAATGCACAGCCTTGTCCTCATTTCCGCTCGAGCGGTAGGCCTCGGCAAGGTTATGACATGCTATGATTGTTTCGTTATGATCTTGGCCAAGCTTTTGTTTTCGAACACTCAACACTTCCTTATAAAGCTTGATGGCCTCATCGTACTCGCGAGCCTCTTTTTTGGCGAAAGCAAGGTTGTTCTTTGCCAGAGCCGTAAGCACGCTGTTTGCGCCCACTTTCTTTTCTAGTAAATCCACCGCCTCAATGAGTGCAGCAAAGGCTTTGTCTGGCTGCTTGTTTTGCCAGTAGATGACACCTATGTTGCTCATACTGAGCGCAATATCCGCATGCCCCGGCTCGAGAATCTCACGGCGAATCTTGAGTGACTCCTCAAAACACTCAAGTGCACGGTGCAGTGCTGTCACGCGTTCCATTCCGGCAGTAGAGATGGATAATGACCGATAAACAAGCCCGAGGTTATATAGCGTTGTTGCGAAAGATGCGTGTTGCTCGCCCACACTGGCCTTGTATGTTTGTAGTGCGAACTCATAAGACTCTATAGCCTCTTCTGTCTGGCCCAAATTTTTGTACATAAGTGCAATGTTGGTTATTGTGCTGGCGTATACCGGGTGATTTTCTCCAAAATGCGACTTTACCAGGTCTCGGCACTGAAAACCGACCTCTAGTGCGGCTTGGTAGTCACCAGAGCTGCGATATACAGCACAAAAACTCACGTAAGATTCGTGAAACTGCAAAGTCGACAGTTTGCTTTAGTAAATACGCGTGATAGGACGTACTTGTAGGCATCGCGAATTTCACGTTGCATGGAGGCGATGTTCTGCTCCACTTGTACATAACTTGTTTGGGGCTTATTGTGTAGCACTTGCACTGAAGGCTTGAGCGGAATCGACGATGTATTTGAACTCCATCGAAGTGGAAAGAAATGCTTAGTTGCTTGCAAGGTAGACGCTGTCAGTACGTGACGACGCAGTGAAGTGGAAGCTACTAATACAAGGCGATGATTCATATGTGAGTTCTGGCACTGCCAACGATTATGTGTAGTATATGTAGCAATGATCTCAACAAACATAAAATCGCCGTACAATAATAAAGTAAAATCCAAAAGTTATACAGTAGACCAGTGCGTACAACGGGGTCGCCGTGCACCTTGCGCAGATAAAACTTTTACTCGGGCAGCCGCGATAACGAATGCACAGATGATGGTGAAAGGCGGAACCTTATACTTCTCACCCTTTTCGGTACACTTGAGCTTCTCTGTAAGTCCGAAAACAATATAGTAACATGTGCATACGCCATAATAAAGCATTTGACTCGACGAGAATCCCGTTACGCAAAAAAGCAAACACGATCTCTACGAGCACAAACCACACTAAAATATAGCTACTCACCGAAGTGCATAACTCGACGAGCCTCCAAGACAAATGCTGATCTGAAGTCGAAAAATAATCCATTCGGTAAGATTGTGCTTTCTAATGAGAATAGTCTAAGTGCCCCCTACAAACCCTGGTGCACCACCACAGTGCGTTCTACACGTTACATAGCTTGCGCACCACCACAGTGCCTTCTACACGTTACATAGCTTGTTTATTGCCAGTCCATTGGATTCACCCCAAGACTCGATCGTTGACAGTATTCATTCTCACATTTGCAAGAGCTGCGCACACGGTTCCCGCTCTCAAGTAAAAATTTAGTCAAACGCGACGGACAACAAAGTCAGTGTGATTACAGAAATGAACCAGACCTAGCATCACGAGGTCGACTTGCTTGTCCATAAGCACATAGGTCACAATGGCCTTCAACAAGGTCGCAGAGACTACCATATCGTATTTACGGCTTTCATAGACTCAATCCAACATCAGCCGTTCGCTGCAGCCCTCAGTCTTGGATCTGCAGCTTATAGTGAAAGCGGAACGCGCCCGCAAGCCCAACTTTGTGCGCATTTTATGACCTAAACAGACCACAACGCATCAGGAGTAGCGGCTACATGCGTGCCCTATACTGCAGCCTGGTATTAGTACCGAGGATAACATGACTCAATTGAGTATTTAGGCAAGAAAGTTCGTTATAGTCTAGTCTTGCGGATTCACTAGCAACTTAAAAAAAGATATGCTAGTAGAACGTCGATTTATGCTTGACATAATCAAGCTAAAAGCACAAGGTCAACATTGAGGCAGGCTCTCACCTCCCGCTATTGCTGAAGCTAGCCGTGTTCATACTTAGAGCCTGTTATGCGGCTATCAACTGAGACTTTGCCGCTTTCTCGAAGGCAAAAGGATTGTCAAGTTGTAACCGTGAGAGTAGTTCAACATTTGACAAGATACGGATTACGACCCTGAGCGAGTGCGACAAGATACAACCCTTTCACGAGAAAGCACCTTTCGCCTTAATCATTAAGCTCTATTGAGGACGATTCTCACACGGCAAGCTCTCTGAGCTATCTATTTTGATTAAACATTGCTTTCTCCGAATGTCTTATGTTCCATGTAGCATCGATCGAACATTATCAACTGTTGGATGTCCTCTACGATATCACAATCATATCAAATCGTTGAGCTTCCTTAAACGTTTTGAACTTGAAGCTGCTTATAAGCGGAAATTTTTTCAGCTTCAGGGAACTGCTGAAACGTTAGATCATCTTCAACAGTTCGTCCAAAAGACTAAGTCATTATGATAACCGAAACATATTGATTTCGCTACGAATTAAAGACGGACTAATATGAGCAAGACGATCAGTGTCGGTAACCCATCTTATACCAAGACCAAAATCACTTTGTAAAGGCGTCATGGAGATGCAATGATGGTTTGTCGAAAGAATGTTCAAAATCTAAACGGGATGAACTGCCCAATCGAGTGCAAACTTCCTGAAAAGGATCATGAAGCTCAAGCTCAGCAGTTGCAGTAAACACTGCTACACCACGTCATTTATGTGTTCGGTTCTGCCACTAGATTGTCGGTGATATGCTGCACATGTCGCAAGAGCTGGTACCATACACATTTAACGGACTCTGCCAGAAGTTTGCTGTATAGCGCGAGTGTTGATCGTTGCCACAGAAAAGCTTTGTTGGAGAAACTCATTCTTGTATGATACAGATGAATCTCCATTTGTTTCAGTGATGCTGGTGGCAGCTGCAACGGGCTACGTGCCCTAAAGTGATGGACATACATACTACGATGCTGTCTGTTGGACTGAAAGCGAAGCATCAAAGTGTCAAGAGTAAGCACACGACAAATTACCATGACTACGGTAAAAATGGAGCTACATCACAATAATATGAAACACGTGACCTGCTAGGCTCACACCATTCTCTAAAAAGACCTTAATCATTACAGATCATGGAGCGTATACATGAATTTTGCTTTTTAGCTAGATTTAATTTTGAGAAAAAGAATTTATTTGAGCATGTGTCAAGAACTATGTTAGTAATGACTCTCGACTTGGCGTCGGAGGGACTCAACGACTCCGAGTTTTGGCTGTGCAAGGTTCGCGGCAAACCATTATAATACGTAGCGTAAGATTATATCGATGTTGGTTTATCAAATCTGCGACGTGGCAACAAGCCAAACTTTTTCTTACCCAACCTGTGGCCTAAGCGGTTACCGTTTGCAAGGACCTACAAAAATACGATATTAAGGCACCTACAGGGAGGTCAAACTTCGGTATTCCGCTTCTGTGTGAGTATGAGATGTATAGTCTTGGCCCTGCTCCAGACTGAACTGCCGCTCTTCGCGCTGGCGATCTTAAATCTAAGAGGTCAGGGGAGAGAGGAGATACTCAAGCGATAGATGTCGCGTATCTAGGCATGCACGGTCCTGATCATGTTTTCGCAAGTGGTCGAAATCACATTATATCATTCCTAGAATGAGACTATGCGGAATAGATGGCATTCACATCAATGGGATGATTACTGGTCATATTTCAAGGGGCTCTCAGGTGTCGTTTCATGAAAGCCAGTGCGGCTTGCGCCGGGGACTTTCGTGTGCATCAAACTGCTTTCGAGGGCACGCTTAACGTCGCTTTAAATCCAACAGATTTAAACAAGCTGCTCGGGGTGACGATGGCTCTATGAGTGCGCGAGATTTAAACTCCAATTAAGATGAGTAGAGTGTTCACTTAGCTGCAGAGTAGCGTCGTAGTATCAACAGGGTTTAGAGTTCTGATTTTTCAGCAAGTAATTCGGTACTATTTTAGAGTCGGCATTACCTCGCATGAGGTCTGTCGGTTGCTGACACCAAGAATTTTAGGTTTGTGGAACTATGGAAAGCCTGATATCTTTAAAACCATCATACAATTGCGTACAACATACAGCTTTGAAAATGCCGAAATAAATGCCGCAATCGTGCTTTAACATGTCAGAAGCTCATTTGACCTACAAAGTAGAAGAAGAGAAGTGTGGCTAAGTTTAGCCCGAAACCCTTCTGATTTCATACTTCAATTCGAGGTATGATCTCATTATAGGTATGTTCAGGCTGAAACGCCATTAGCGATGGATCGACTGAAGGCCAAACATGATAATAAAGCCTGGCGATTCATGAATCTGCCTTTTGCTAGAAAGCTCAAGAGCTTTGGCGTAAGAAAAGTCGGCAGCGGCTGATGACGACTTGTCCGATCGCCGACCGGTAACTCGCGATGCTCTTCGAGCTTTGGAGGACAAGTTCCGTCGTCATTGGCACTCCGCCGACCATCTTGCCTAGGTGTGCGGAAAACTTCAAGAGCTTGGGACATGTTGTGCACCTGCTGCTTCACGTTGTGGACTATCGCGCTCTTTCGGAACGGCTCCTAGCCGTCGAGCAGACAAATACGTCACTTCGTGCGACGGTAGAGCGCCTTACGCCGTCGGCAACGGGGATTGTTGCACTCCGTGCCCAAAAGAAGCTGCTGATTCAGCTTCTGGGTGGCCGAGCGCCTTTGGGCGCTGTCCCGGCGCCAACGCTTCCGCTTTCACTTGCGCTGGATCCCAGTACGGCTTAAGCAAGCCCACAATAAACACCGGGTGGGTGCGCATCATTCTCGGAAGGTGCACCGTATACGCAAGGTCTCGCTTGGCCACAAACTTAAAAAGTTCAATAAACCGTGGGACGGAGCTTTGTTTTTAAGACACCAGAGGCTGCATGTGTAGGAAGGTTTTTAGCAACAAGACATGGTCTCTGACAGTTTTCAGCATTTCTTCTGCTTCTTCCGCCTGCATATTCCTTCTGCATGTCTATCTTCTAACCATCGCATCGCGAACGTGTCGTGAGACACTCACTCAAGTAGAGAGGAAGTCATCGACTTCTTTACAAACAGTGACAGAGCTGAAAACAGCTAGCCGCTCGGCTATTCCTCCCTACAAAACCCTGTACCACGGGATGGCAGCGTCAGCGGGATGCGAGAATGAACGAGCCCGTTCAGGCAGAAAGGCATGGAGCTGGTAGACGAATGCAATGTATTGTTTAGAAAACTCTACGGGTGGCAGCATAGCGCTCCAGCGCTTCGGAGTCTCAGCACAGACGCTGCGGAGGACATCCTCGACGATTCGTTTTGCTCGCTCAGTTTGACCATCGTTCTGTGTATGATCCGCCGTTGACATAGTCAACTTGGTACCCAGCGCCCTGAAGATTGTAGATAGAAACTTCCCGGATAAGCGTGAGTCTTTGTCCAAGAAAATTGACTCCGTTAGTCCATGTTGTCGAGAGACACGATCCACAAACAGCGTCGCTGCACCCACACCATCGATGTTACCCGGCACTGCCGCATGATGAGCCAACTTGCTCAAAATATTTCACAAAGAGCACCACACCCGTGTCGCCCGCCGAGTACTTCGGCAGGCCAAACACAAAGTCCATACTCTGGACCACCAGCACCCAGAAGGTACCAGTAAACTGGCCAGCGGCACCACTGAATTAGGAGAGTGTTTCACCCTCTGACACGTCTCACACGTGCGCACATATGTGCTCATCCATTTGTACAGCTTGGGCCACTCGTTGTGGCAACTCACCGAGCTGCACGTCTTCTCACCACCGAGATGACTACTAAGTGGGGTCGTAGAGGATACGGTTTTTCAAATCCTCATCGTGAAGAACCACAATTCGTGGCGTGTCCTCAAGTCGGTGATATAATACAACAGCCAGTTATTCAACGAATATACGTGTAATCTTGCGCGCAAACGCACTGACAATTTCTTGTCCGAGCCTCCAAAGCAGCGCCACACACATACCTTCACCCGCGTATGCGGTGCGGATCAAATCTGTGTCACCGTCGTGAGATGAGCAAGCTCACAATCCGGTCAACTTGACAACCCATCAGCCATAGCATTCTGCTTTCCTGACTTATACTTTACCTTGAAGTTATCTTCTGCAAAGAAGAAAAGCCATCTAGCCAACCTCTGCGAGAGGTGAGGCAACTGAGTCGCGGTGCGTAGTGACGCGTGATCTCAAGTAACTACTGGGAAGTTCCTCTCCGCAGCATTACGCTGGCGAAATTTGAATGCGATCACCCGATCTCGCCCCTCGGCATCTGCTTGCAACAATGCACAGACGATGGCAAAGTCCGGATCGTCACAGACGATATTAAAATAACGATCGAGATCTAGCAATGCCAGTATTGGTGCATGAAGGAGGCCGTATTTGACCCCGTCAAAAGCTTCCCTCTGCTCGGTGTCCCAACATCATTCCGCATCCTTCTTAAGGAGATTCGACAATGGCCGTGCCATAACCGCATAATTCGCGCTATACTTGTGCAAGTAGTTGGCGAGGCCGAGTCACTAACGCAAGTCCTTTTGGTTCATTGGAACCGGCCAGTCCACAATGGCCATGACCTTAGCGGGATCCTCGAAGGTCATGCCTCTCGAAAAAGCACCCTAAAAAAAGGATTTTTTTTGAGCTGAAGATGCACTTACCGGCATTAGCATACCGCTTATTCGTGCGCATGCACTCAAGCACCGCTTTCAAATGGACGATGTGATTTTCCTCAGCTGTCCTCCCGTGCCCCGCACGACTGTGGACAAAGATGTCGTTGAAGTATGTCTGTGCATATGCCTGTTGGGGCCTAAACAATTGCGTCACAGGACGATTAAATGTTGCTAGAGCATTTCATAGCACATGGATCAGTACAGCTACCCCCAGAGCATCCCGCGTGGAGTACTCACCGCTGTCAGCGGAATATCACTCGCTCTCATGAGCAATTGGTCATGCCCATAGACCAAATTAAGTACACTGTACTGTGTACATCCAACCATGTTGTTCTGGGGAATAACCTTTATAGAAATCGGCGTCTGTGCCGGAATGGTGGCAGCGTTTAGCTTATTGTAAGCGTGAACGATTCGCCACTTGCCGTTCGGCTTTCGACCACAAAACGTGGGTGTCGAATGGGGAGACTTGCACTCACGCACCATTCCTGCGCGAAAAAAGGCGTCAATGACGTCACCTTGCTTCTCGAGCAGGAACCGTTGGCATGTTACGCAGTAATTAGATTGATCTCATGACGCACACTTCGGTCCGGAGGTAGGACCGATGGCGGGTCTTTGGAGACGACGTCTTGAAATTTTTTAACCAAAGAGTAGTACGGATCCGAGGGAAACTTCAAGATCGACGATATTTTTGTGCGTTCAGCACCCTTTGGCAGGTTAGCTTCATCCAGAAGGGATGACGAGTTAATCTCCTCCTTCATTCGTATAATGACCCCCTCGGCTAAGTCGCCTGTCTTCAGGGCATCCCCAAATGCTTCGAATGGCATCTCGCCTAGCTTAAGAAGACCATCGACCGAGAAAATAGCCTCGAGGGGAACGTCGCCGTCTTTTTCTCGCGTCATACCGTCGACAACTTATTACAGTTGTGCGCTATTGTCAACGGTATACACACCCTGGGCCAGGATTAACATCCTGCGCCTTGCAAATGTCATACGTATCACTGCCTCATCTCTGTTGAGGTTTTACGTCTCATCGAAACCTCGAAGACTTGCTGTTTTTAACAACATCCGACAAAGGGCTGCTATTTCCGCAGCCTTCGTCTAGTAGATAACGTGACACTCCACACCCATCGGAAGGTCCTTGCTCAAGATGCCTTGGACCTCGTCCGTCCATGCCACTCTTGGCATGCAGCAACTGCTTTGACACTTGAGCAGTGCTCAAAGGGTTTAGCGCCACTTCACGTGCATCACTGAGGTCTCGACTTCAATGCCTCGGCCCTTATCGGACCATGCCACTATAGGTAAGTAGTAACTGCTTTGATACTTGAGCAGTGCTCAGTGGGTTAAATGCCCATACACGTTCAGCCCTGGAGCCATGTTCGTGACTCTTGTCCAATACACCTTCGATGTTCATGAACTCGGATACTTCGATATCCAGCACACTGACCATCCCGGTCCAGTACCCGCGACCATATCGCTTATGCTTTATAGCAGAGGTGGGCGCATGACCCACCAAAGCTTCACCAGGAGACGATCGTGTAGTGTCAAAGGTCTTCGACCTCAAATCAATCCATGGCTCATGGTTTTCCAACCTTGCCATACCGAAGATAAGGTCATACTTTGAACCTAGGTATAAGACTAAGCTGCATTTTACGCTACCGAAGTCAAAGAAACTTGACACCGAGGTCCACAGATACCCTCGGCATAGTGACACACACACCATCGCTAATCGAACAGTGATCGTGTCACTTAACCGCGTTTTCAGCGCCTCAGCATACAGCTGACTTCATTTGGTCCCGACGCCCTGGAGTCGATAAGAATCTTCCATGGCTTCTCAAAGCCCTTCACAGTCGTTTTTACAACCAGCAAACTCGGCTTGCATACACGTTCCGTGTTCAAGAGCACGGAGCTCTTCGGGGCCGCGCTCTGCTGCCCTTTACCTCTTTGAGGCTCAACAAAACTTAGTTCTTCCCCAGTAGGGCACTTCGCGCCTACTGGGCGTTATTGTTTCCCTGCATCAAATTCGACTGATAAAAAGCGGGACGTCGGCTCGACGAACCTGTACGCGCCGTGCGCAGGGCACAACCAGTCTGAAGGTGGCGATGTCTCCACAGACAAAACACCGTCGGATGTTAAAACGCTGCTCGGCAGCTTGGAGCTCTCCGTCCCCCCTCTCAGCATTGCTCAACTCCATTGGTTCAGGCCCGTTCAACGAACTCCGAGGGTGTGCATTCCAACCAAGTCGTGCCGACTTCAAGTTGAATTTGGCATTCAGTGCCACGTTCACCGCTTCATCAAAAAAAGACGGAAGCACACGGAAGACTTCCAATCTGGACACGTCAGTGCGGAGGCCTTCCATAAAGACGGTCATTGTGACCACCATTAGAAGAGGATCAGCTGCCATCCCGACAATGAGAGTTCGCGACTCTTGAAGTAAGTTCACCAACTATTTCTTGTCCTGTC